ACAACTTTTGTGTCGAAATAAATCTGTTTTTCTTTTAAAACTTTTGTGGCATTCATTGAAATCACAAATAAATCTTACATTTGAATGAACTAATGATTTATGACTAATTAAATATAATTTCGTTATAAATCTTTTATTACAATTATTGAAATCACATTTAAATTGTTTTACTTTTGAATGAATTAGTTTATGTTGAATAAAACAAGTTTTCTTCATTGTTTTGAAGTGACATTTAGGCCAAAAACAGCGATAATTTATATGAATTTTGTCATCATATGAATGATCCACAAATTTATGGTGAATTAAATTTTGTTCTGATGTAAAATTGTGGCAAAAAATTTAATACAAAACAATCGTTAATTCGCCACAAACGCATGCATTCGTGAAAAAAGCCATTTGTTTGTAATTTTAGTGATTATAACTACTAATACATTTTACCTAATACAGTATTAATAAAAATAAAATAACTTTTTATATTAAATCTCTATTGAAAATATTGTGTCCAAAACTGATGGCATTCCCTCTTAAAGGGATCGACAAATGTTTTGCTGAAGTCCTATGGATTCATGTCATGAAATATAATTAATAATATTTTTTCCATAATTATTAAATTAAATTAAAGGCAATTAAACTCGAAATCATTTCAATTCAACACAAAAATAATTTTCATTTATTTATAATTTCAGTTAATGTCACAAACGTTTTACAACAAAACAGTATTTATTTCGACACAAAAGTTGTGTTCAGTTGACATAAATAGGGATTTCAAATGTAATTAAAAAAATGCAATCAAATTAAACGAATATTTTGTAGTAAATAAATAATCATTGAAAATAAATGACTAAATAAAAAACAATTAAAAAATACCTATAATTTATCATACAAGCGGAAAGTTATGTGTTGTGTAATAACACCCAGTTTTTGACCATAAATATCGGGTATTATTCTGGTTAACAAAAAATCGGCAAATGGTCTAAAACACCTGATTCGGTGGCCGATCACCAGAATTCTTACCACACATTTAGCACACGTTATGAACACAAAAGGCCGAGTATTTTGTTTGAATACACTGTAAAAAAACAAAACAAATTATTTAATGCTTGAAATACACAATAATTAATACAAATAAATACAAACACTTTGATTGATAGGGAAATGCGGTTTACGGGTAGACATCGGGTCGGCTGAAAGAGTCGGTGGCCATCACGTGAGGGCCTGTTGAACGCGATCGAGACATAGATCGCCGGCCCGTTGGGCCTCTTCAGAGAGTAATACAAAATTCAAGAATCCGTGCGGCAGTGCGTCGATCACATCAAGACATACCGGGCCTGTGGACAGACATATGGACAATGTGTTAATGATATGTACAGATAGTTTGAATGTGAGTGAGTGAGAGAGAGAGAGTCTTAAGACACATACCCTTCCACTTCTTGGCCATCTGTACGCTGTCGTCGAGACAGGCGTCGTATACCAGAGCCACGAGATAGAGGGGAATGTCGTGAAAGTCGGGCGCCGACAGCAGCGGCGATATATACGGATTGTTCACCACAGCGTTCAACGACTCGAGTTTGACGCCCAGCGCCGGCTCCGGGCGTCTATACCACGGCCGCGGCATTTGTCGCCGACCGGCAAACGGCGAGTGGGCGCTGAGTTTGGCCATCGAGGCGTTGATCCACTGGTGGCCCCATTTGGGTGTCGGCGCTGTCGGCAGGTCTTCGTCGGCCGGCAACTCGTCGTGCGATATCAGCTCAAAGTCTCCCCCGTCTGCCGTCGGGCTGTCCATCACCTGCGCCACCACCGCAGCCACCGCCGCACCGATTACCACATCGTCTGCCTTCAGCTCGTCATCGCTCTCTTCCGGCTCTTTGGCGGACACCGGACTGTCAGCGGCGGCGGTGTTGACCGCAACCTCCGGAGCGTACGCCTCCATACACGACAAGAGCACTCCCAGTGGTAAGAGTGTGTCCACAGCGGTCATCAGCCGCGACGGCGAGCCCCGCGTCTGCAACAGGAAGGGGGTGTAGAAACACACGACGCCCTTCGGCCGCACCACCGGCTCTCCCGTACGGCATATGTCGTGTATGACCAGACACAGGGCCACCGATAGGTTGCCGCCGGCGCTGTCGCCACAGACCACAATCTTGCGCGCCTGATAGCCGATAGTGGGCACCGATTCGGCACACGTTAGCCATAGGTATACGTCCAGCACTTGTTGTAATGCCGTCGGGTATTTGGCTTCCGGTGATAGGCTATAGTCGACCGATACGATCGCCGTTTCTGGTAATGTGGAAGAGAGTGAGTTAGAGTGGATTCAAATGTATGGAGAGAGAGAGAGAGAGAGNCACTATCGGCTATCAGGCGCGCAAGATTGTGGTCTGTGGCGACAGCGCCGGCGGCAACCTATCGGTGGCCCTGTGTCTGGTCATACACGACATATGCCGTACGGGAGAGCCGGTGGTGCGGCCGAAGGGCGTCGTGTGTTTCTACACCCCCTTCCTGTTGCAGACGCGGGGCTCGCCGTCGCGGCTGATGACCGCTGTGGACACACTCTTACCACTGGGAGTGCTCTTGTCGTGTATGGAGGCGTACGCTCCGGAGGTTGCGGTCAACACCGCCGCCGCTGACAGTCCGGTGTCCGCCAAAGAGCCGGAAGAGAGCGATGACGAGCTGAAGGCAGACGATGTGGTAATCGGTGCGGCGGTGGCTGCGGTGGTGGCGCAGGTGATGGACAGTCCGACGGCAGACGGGGGAGACTTTGAGCTCATATCGCACGACGAGTTGCCGGCCGACGAAGACCTGCCGACAGCGCCGACACCCAAATGGGGCCACCAGTGGATCAACGCCTCGATGGCCAAACTCAGCGCCCACTCGCCGTTTGCCGGTCGGCGACAAATGCCGCGGCCGTGGTATAGACGCCCGGAGCCGGCGCTGGGCGTCAAACTCGAGTCGTTGAACGCTGTGGTGAACAATCCGTATATATCGCCGCTGCTGTCGGCGCCCGACTTTCACGACATTCCCCTCTATCTCGTGGCTCTGGTATACGACGCCTGTCTCGACGACAGCGTACAGATGGCCAAGAAGTGGAAGGGTATGTGTCTTAAGACTCTCTCTCTCTCACTCACTCACATTCAAACTATCTGTACATATCATTAACACATTGTCCATATGTCTGTCCACAGGCCCGGTATGTCTTGATGTGATCGACGCACTGCCGCACGGATTCTTGAATTTTGTATTACTCTCTGAAGAGGCCCAACGGGCCGGCGATCTATGTCTCGATCGCGTTCAACAGGCCCTCACGTGATGGCCACCGACTCTTTCAGCCGACCCGATGTCTACCCGTAAACCGCATTTCCCTATCAATCAAAGTGTTTGTATTTATTTGTATTAATTATTGTGTTTTTCAAGCATTAAATAATTTGTTTTGTTTTTTTACAGTGTATTCAATCAAAATACTCGGCCTTTTGTGTTCATAACGTGTGCTAAATGTGTGGTAAGAATTCTGGTGATCGGCCACCGAATCAGGTGTTTTAGACCATTTGCCGATTTTTTGTTAACCAGAATAATACCCGATATTTATGGTCAAAAACTGGGTGTTATTACACAACACATAACTTTCCGCTTGTATGATAAATTATATGTATTTTTTAATTGTTTTTTATTTAGTCATTTATTTTCAATGATTATTTATTTACTACAAAATATTCGTTTAATTTGATTGCATTTTTTTAATTACATTTGAAATCCCTATTTATGTCAACTGAACACAACTTTTGTGTCGAAATAAATACTGTTTTGTTGTAAAACGTTTGTGACATTAACTGAAATTATAAATAAATGAAAATTATTTTTGTGTTGAATTGTAATGATTTCGAGTTTAGTTGCCTTTAATTTAATTTAATATTTATGTAAAAAATATTATTAAATTATATTTCATGACATGAATCCATACGACTTCAGCAAAACACTCGTCGATCCCTTTAAGAGAATGCGATCAGTTTTGGACACAATATTTTCAATAGAAATTCAATATAAAACGTTATTTTATTATTATTATTATTATTAAGATTAGGTAAAATGTATTAGTAGTTATAATCACTAAAATTACAACCAAATGGCTTTTCACGAATGCATGCGTTTGTGTCGAATTAACTCTTGTTTTGTATTGAATTTTTTGCCACAATTTTCTTCATTACATTTGAATTTCCTTTCATTCAAATGAACACAACTTTTGTGTCGAAATAATTCTGTTTTTCTTTTAAAACTTTTGAGGCATTCATTGAAATCACAAACAAATCTTATCACAATTTTCTTCATTACATTTGAATTTCCTTTCATTCAAATGAACACAACTTTTGTGTCGAAATAATTCTGTTTTTCTTTTAAAACTTTTGTGGCATTCATTGAAATCACAAACAAATCTTACATTTGAATGAACTGATGATTTATGACTAATTAAATATAATTTCGTTTTAAATCTTTTATTACAATTATTAAAATCGCATTTAAATTGTTTTACTTTTGAATGAATTAGTTTATGTTGAATAAAACAAGTTTTCTTCGTTGTTTTGAATTGACATTTAGGCCAAAAACAACGAAAATTTCTATGAATTTTGTCATCATATGAATGATCAACAAATTTATGGTGAATTAAATTTTGTTTTGATGGAAAACTTTTGTGGCATTCATTGAAATCACAAATAATAGAAATTCAATATAAAAAGTTATTTTATTTAATATTAAATAAAATGTATTTATTAATAAAGTTTATTATTATTAATTACAATAATTAATATAATTATTATAAAAGTTGACATTGTTTAAAATGTCATTTCAAATAATAAAACATCAAATTATAATTAAAATAAAATGGTTATAGATTTTGTTAAAACATTATAATAATATGACAACTACTGTAATTTGCTTATAATTTATTACTATTAATTTGAGGATTACTTTTTAATATTACATTTAATGTGTATGTTAGTTTTCAAATGTTGTGTTAATTTATATTTTGCAACAAAGCGTTGATTACAGT